CTCTACTGGCATATTAGTTGTTCTTTTAAGTTTTAAATTTTGGAACACTTTTTTTATGCTGGGAAGCCTGCTCTGTAGTGTACTCACAACAGCTCCCAGCTGCTACAATCAATGAACAGCAATGGGCACCAAGAAATCTCTTTATTTGGTTGCTAAAGGACTCTTGGGGTTAGAACAATATCTGTCCTGTGGCAGATACTGAAATCAGCATCCAGAGAAAGAAACTGGGGAGGGAGTATGAGCAAAAAACTTGAACTGAGTTGGAGGATGCATTGAATATTCCCCAACTTGTCTGTGTCTTTTACACTGTCACCTCCTTGGCCTGAAGCATCTAGTGCCTATTCTATTGACCACTTTCCTTTTTTTTTTCCCCACCCAGAAGAAAAATCCCTTCTGATATGATCATTTGAGTTGATTTTATCCATTCCATTAAAAAAAAAAATTTGGATTAGACATAGTTCCGGAGAAGTAGGGCTGACAGCTCACTCTTGCCATTTGTTGGTGAGCAGTCCATATAAACAGGCTCAAATGTTTGAGAGAGAGGGAGGGAGGAAGGGAGGGAGGGAAGGGAGAGGGAGGAAGGAAGGAAGGAAGGAAAAAAAGAGAGAAAGAAAAAATGGATTTGGAAATGAGAAGTTTATGAGAGTTATTTTGAAGTTTACATGGGTAAGATCTACTATTTTGTTTAAAAAAAGTAGGTAAAAACATGAGTGAAAGTTCACTGGAAAGGAGATAAGCATTAGATTTTTAACTAGTTGAGAATTTTAGAAATGTAAATATTTTTAGCAACACATTCTTTGTATCAATTCTATTAACACAGAGTCATATAAATGTCCCAAAGAGTTTGCTATGAAGAAAGTTATGATCATTTAGTATCATATTCATACAATCTTATATTTGAAAAGGAAATGAGACATTAGTTTCTCTTCAATTCATGAATCTCCTCTTCAACAATATTTATAAGGGGTATCCTCTCTCTCTCTCTCTCTCTCTCTCTCTCTCTCTCTCTCTCTCTCCTCTCCTCTCCTCTTC